GTACAGGAACCCAGACCATGCTGTGTCTACAATGTGCTCCTTTGTCTGTTCAGGCTCTGAAGACACACATGGCACTCGGGTGTCTCACATCCTGGGACCTTCTGCTCACTGTCTTATGAATGAGACCTCATCCACAATGCTCTGCTTGGTCCTACAGGAGCAATTATTCTCCTCCAGGTCCCACATAGAAAGCCAACACTTGGCCCAACCCCTGACATGACTAGCTACTCACTTAACTGCTACCTTAAGCCTATGAGCTCCTGAGGACAGGGACTGGGGCCATATTTCTCTTCAAGCTCCTAGATTCAGCCTAGGCTTTCATACAGAGGGTGCCCACTTCTGATATTAGTTTAATAAATAAATTAAGGGAAAATATATAAGCCACTCTCAGTGGAGCCTGCCTCTTCCATGAAGACACAGCCTACTTCCTAAGTTGCCACAATATGGAAATCAAGAAAAAAGTGTTTCTTTCAGTTAAAAACAGTACAATGTTATGGACTGGGAGGGGAAACAATGGAGGAGCCTGGATCACAGTGATTAGAAGGTTGCCAGATCCACCTTAACTTTAAAATTGTGAAAAACTGAAAAAGTGTTTGCTTCCAGAAAGATGTGTGTGTGCAACAGTTCTGTCATTGTAGGAATGTGTCAAAAGGGCAGGTGATGCTGGCAGCTCTCCTCCAGGGACTGCTGGCCTGAACACTTGTTCAGAAAATATTGTAATAGTTCTGAAATTGAACCTGAGGATGACAGGTGACCCATGACTTGTCTGAGATCCTGTTTGGTCAGTTCTGCCTAAGCCCTGCCTCAGAGTTGACCTTCTAGTCTTCACCCTGGGCTTCTGACCAGGGCACTGCCTCCTCCCCTTCTCTCCCCCTATTCTCCACTCCTCCTCCCCCTCCCCTTCTCCTCCTTCCTGCTCCTCCTCCCTTTCCCTCTTCCCCTCCTCTTCCTCCTACTTCCTCCCTCTCCCCCTTCTCCTCCCCTTCACTACTCCTCCTCCGTCTTCCCCCTCCTCCCTTTTCCTCTCTCCCTTCTTCTCCCTCATCCCCTTCTCCCCTCCCCTTCCTCCCCCATCCCCCTCCTACTTCTCCTCCAGCCCAGAGCTTTTCCCTGTGCTGACAACTATAACAGCTCCAGACTCCTGGTACCTCCCCATTTCTTTAATCAACAAAGACACCAACAGAGAAGAAGGAACTACAGCAGATTTGGGAGGATTCTTCTAAGGTTGATGGAGCACACAATTAGGGTTTGCTTCTTCATTGAGGGCTTACAATGAAACCTTGACATGTAACACCCTCCTACATACTCAAAATAAACTGAATAAAAAAAGAATTTGAACTTCTGAAATGCTTGCAAATATTTTTGTTTTCAGTAATGTCAACACCCTCAAGGGCTGAGGCAGCCTGAAAGACAAAATGTACTCTGTCCCCAACACTAAAGAGGTGATCATGTATCTATATACAGATAATATGAACATATCCCTAAAGAATGCCTTAACAATAAACTTAAAATAGTTTCAGTAATGGGAAACAAATGCAGATCTTAATAAGTCAAGGGCCCTGGAGAGCCATATATATGCTCAATTGCATGACCCTGGGAAACTAGGGTCAAGGTCAACAGTGAAGGGTAGCTGAAGGACTCTCTTAAGGACATTATCCAACCTTAGCCCAGGTGGAGTGGTCCAATCCTGGGGCTGGAACATGTGAGCCATGGGCTATTTACCTGGAAGCTCAGTGAAACCTCCCATCAGCCCCCCTTCAGTGGATCTGTGATGTTGAACCAGTCTCTTCATCCTGCAATTATTTTCTGTATCAACAAAATATATGCTTCTCTGGAACTAGATTCACTTTCTCTTTCCATTCCTAACTACCAGAAACCCTTTCTTCCACAAAAGCTTGTCCATGTCATAAATGTATCACAGCTGTTCAGGGTCATGAGGGGGCCTTGCTTGGTCCTTGGACCTGTGGTCCCCACAGGGAACAGGAACTCCCTGAACTAGCTGCTGATTAAGTATCTTCCGGCTCAGATACTGTAAGCCTGATTCTCAGCAAAACTGTGCACTGTTGATGACATCTACACTATCAAACAGGGTCCATCCTTGACCCCACCTGCCAGGTCATAGTTTGGAGCTGAGGCAATAGACCAGTTCTTGGTTTAGAGACTACTTTTATGGAGTATGTTTACATGCCAGTGAGCTAGACTTCAAAATTAGAAGCATTGTAACAAATGGGAGGATTCCTCAGGAGAAAGCCCATGACAAATGTCCCCTTTGTTACCTTCCCCTGACAGGGGACTTCTGATAGCAGAAGCCATGATTTTGTGATCCCTGATGTCAGAGGTCCAGAATCCTACCTCATCTGAAGCTGCAGTGATCCTATCTGCTGAAGCACATGCTACATCAAGTTCTGTATGGATCCCCCAGAACACATTGATGGTATAGATCTCCCAACCTCTGCACCTAGCCATCAGGGTAGTCATAGACCCTCAGTCTTATGGAGGTACCAAAGACCATACTCTTCCCCACAAGCACATTTGGGACATGTAGGGAAACAGAAAGTCCCATGCTAGAATGAAGGTTCCTTCTGTGAAATAAGCTTGAAAATTCATCACAGAACAGCTGAGGTTCTGTCAACACAGCCTTAAGTATAAAGTGTCTCCAGGGTTCAGAGCAGAAAACTTCACTTTTGAAAATTATCTCTTTTATTCATCTCACTCTGTGTGAATTACTAGTTAAATTGAGAGTATATGACACCTTAGCAATAGAAGTTTTTAAGATGTTTTGTTTAAAAATCCCTATCTTGTTTCACCAGCAGAATGACATCATACACAATGCTATATCCATTTCTCTGAAGCCACATGGTCATAAAGACGTGGTATTATCACCCAGAGAGTGGAGTGTCTATGTCAACTTCTACTTGAGGATTCCCACAATGAGTAAGAACAAGAAAGAGCTAGAATCTGTGTTTCCCTTCTGCTCCATGGCAATGCCCTGTTCTCCAACCCTCAAGTTAACTGAAGGGGCATCCCTAGAAACTAACCAGCAGTGACCCTACTTATCAAACAAGTGCAAGCCAAGCTTTGGACTCTTGACTTCCTGGGGCTTTTATTTCCATTAGGATGACACCATTAGAGTACCTACCCAAAAGCATCCTCAGTCATGTGTGTATACTCTGAGCAAAACTTCCTAAAGAAACTCTTCCCTCACCATACTCCAAGATGCTGAAGACTTCCTGCCTCACACAGGAATCAAGTAAATGTACCTGTGTATGTGACTGTGACTTGTATCCCGTTATAACACATACTTAGTAGTTCTTATGCTATACCCAGCATCTTACATTTTTTAAGCACGGGGGGGGGGGGGTCTCCATTTCAGAAAACTGATGGGAGTCATAAACAGTCCTCCAAGCTGTTGAGCTGTTGAATAAACACTCAATGGCCTTGCTTTCCCAGACTTTCTTGTAGATAACCTTATGGCTGAGGCTCTAGCAGCCAAGGAAGTATCCAGACTTGGAGCATGGGTACAGAGAGAAAAGGGCCAAAGTTGGGGTTGGGAGAGAAACACATCTCTCCACATAAATCTTTCTCACTATCTCTCTCTCTCTCTCTCTTTCTCTCTCTCTCTCTCTCTGTGTGTGAGTGTGAGTGTGTGTGTGTGTGTGTGTGTGTGTATTTCTCTTTCCTTTTGTCTCTGTCTTTTCCCTTTCTGGATGCATACTTGTGTCTCTGTGCCATTTTCAATCTCTCTTCATCTCTGGTGTTCTTCTAGTTCCTTTGTCTGTCTCTGCTATCTCTGTCTCTGTGTACCCCTCTGTGTATGTGTCTTGTTTGCTATCTTGTTGGTCGTATGCATGCTTATGTGTATATGTTTCTGTGCGTGTGTTTTGTGTGTATGTTCATGTGTATGTATGCTCATGTGTGTGCATGTTTGTGTGTGTGTGTGTGTGTGCTTGTATATATGTGTATGTCTCCGTGGTGTTTGTGTGGTTGTATGTGGTTGTGTGTGTGCTTGTATCCAGAAGGTACCTGCCATAGTGTAGAAGCTGTTCATCTGGTGGTGACTGTTTTTTATGTAAAGTCTGTGCTGGTGTCTCCTGTGAAGTAGCTACAACCCAGGATCCTCATCAAGTCAAATGGCACAGACTGAACCTTGTTCCTGGAAGCTCAGCCACAGCCTAGTCCTCCAGCCCAACAATGACTCTATGAGCTTTTCAGTGACCCTTTAAGAAACTCTGCTCTTACATGTTGGGCAGGCCATGCACTAACTGCTGCTTATAAGTAAGATCCTTCATAACATTCTAGGAAATCTGCTCATAGATTTGCACTGGGAATTCTATGCAAAATGAGATATTTTAAAATGGTACAACTGAATACTTAGAGCCTAGCTAAGGCCCTACACCACCAGGTGGACAGTTGAGCCTCCCTGGACTTAGCTCAGATGCTGTCTGGGAAGCTAGAGTTGGAAAACGCCAGGAGGAGGTACCCAATTGGAAACACCAGCTAACGAGACACCCTCAGGGAGGAAGGTCTGAATACAGAGAGATGAGAAAGTAGCCCCTGTGGCTGCTTTCATCCCTGCAGTCAGTTCGCCATCATGCCAGAAGACAAACCCCGAGCACTGTAAGGGGAAACTATTAAACACAAGAAAACCACAGCAATCCAGAGCCAGAGTAACCTGTCTGGGTTGCTGGCTGTCTCATGGGTTCTCTGAACCCATCTAACCCAGGAAGTCCTGGTGGGTACTGCCTTGCCAGGAGTCCTTTAAATCCCAACCTGAGAATCAGATCAGGCTTGAAACAAAATGCCTATTTCCATTATCCAGGCTGAAAAATAAAATCCAACTAGAGCTGGGGAGAGGTAGTGTGCCCACAGGACTTGGACTCTTCTCAGGGCGAATAACATGAGATGTCATTAGAACTTCACTGTGGTTTGCAACACCTCCCTTCAGCTCATTTATGAGGTTATGCAACCAGTGTTCCTATTTAAAAAAAAAAACAAGCTCATTCAGGCTTCCGGAAGCATCTGTCAGCTCAGCTACCTGGGACTCTCTCGTCCTCTCTGCACTCTGGACACTGGCTGCCGCCTCCATGAAAACTCATTACTTTCTCCTGATGATATTTTTTCTCTTCTCCCAGATGGAGCCAGGTAAGCTTTGGGAACTTGTTGGTGACCCTGACTGGGACTGGGGACAGAGAGGCTAAGGGGAAACAGGTAATAGCTACCTCCTGGTTTTGCAAGCCTAGTGACAGGGCAGCATCCTGAGTAGCCATTTGGTCAGCAACCCAGGGAAGCTGCAGTAAAATGAGCCCAGTAGGGGTTGGCAGTGAGTAGTGGGTATGTCCAAGCTTTGATGCTTGTCCCTAGAAGCTGGGACAGGTCTTGTGCAGGAGCCTGCTTTTCCTGTGGTGAGATTCTTCACACTGGGAGACAAGCTTTTTGACACACTGGCCTCAACTGGATCCCTGGGTGGGGCATTCCTGAGTGTCCTGCTGCAGGCAAAGTGACACTGCCCCTTCGCCAGGCCAGCTCAGCCAGTTGTAAATGCCTGGAAACACCAGGTAAACAGTCAAGAGACAGAAGATGACCTTTCATCTTCCCCGGTAACCACATTCTCTTGGCAAGGAGATTTTACCAGTCAAATGGAAGGACTTCACATCTGTCCAGAGGAAGCCCAGTCTGTCTGAACCAAAGCAGCTTGTCCCTTACATGGGAGATAGGGAGACCCTGAAGTAGGGATTAAGGACATATATTCCCCAAAGCCATCTCTCAAGGTGACATTGACAAAGTTGTGTATTTCTGAGTTTTATTTCCATATTTGTATCAGGAAGGTCCTGGTTTTTGTTGTGAGGACCTCTGGAAAAACCTGTTTTGTTTTTCTCCATGCTATCATGCTAGCCTCTGGAGGTGTGTCTTTCAAAATAGCTATGCCCGGTATTCTCATGTGACATCTGGGTCCAGGTGTATTCTTAACACTGTTTTTCATGGTGAGGTAATGGCCCATCTGAGAAGTAAAGAAATTCATTTAATAAGTCACACATTCTTAGGTTCTAGAAAATGCCAGCACATGCCAACTGCACAGCAAATGCTATTTGATACACCTGACTTGGCATGCATTGGGGGTGGGGTGGGAATGCTTTCACTGAGTAAGAAAGAGAAATTTCCTTATTGTGGCCCAAATTCAAGAAAATGTAAAAGCAAATTTTTCAGAATGAAGCATATTTCTGTCTCATATTCTAAATGTGATGCTAGGTGCCTCATTCAAACCATAAAAATAAGAAACACTTCTCAAGGTACACAGGCTCAGCCATATTTCCTGATTCTCCATGCATATCAGGATTACTAGAAACTCCTAAGTAGATCCATTCCACTGCATTCTTGTTTTTGTTTGTTTGGTTTTTGTTTATTGTTTCTCTGTGGCTTTGGAGCTTGCCCTGGAACTCGCTCTGTAGATCAGGCTGGCCTCAAACTCACAGAAATCTGCATGCCTCTGCCTCCCAAGTGCTGGGATTAAAGGTGTGGGCCACCAACACCCTGCTCTACTGCATTTTTTTAGGATACAAATATTCTCTCTGTATGATCTGCCAGTGTAAGAATTCTCCAGACACTTCTCTGGAAATAACAAAGAACAAAGTCTATCTCACCCCCAAAGCCAAAATGATGATGTTCAGATCACCCTAAGGGCCCCAAAGGCCAAGGAGGACCACTGAGGAGAACCTGCTGTACTGTAAAGTTCTATTTGATCACAAGGAAGGATGATATCTAGTAAAAGTATTTTCCTAGGGGATTGATCTACTGGTCTGAGTGTAGTGCTGAAGATCAGGAGGAACAATGAAACTTCCCAGGTGTCTTTGTGTTAACATGCAGCCTCCTGAGAGCTTCCAGAGGCAGGCTGTAGGTGGACCTTGTGTGTGCTTGGCTTAGGTTTTGAGGGTGTGAATTTTGAGACTTCTTGTTTGGCTTTGTTTGGATACAGTCATGGATTGTAGATAAAAAGTCATGTAGGTTTGTAACCACCAAATGCTGTTGGGGGAAATGCATACACTATGAAACAGTTGTGTCCAGCTAGATTCTGTACCCACCACCCCATACTTTCTTTGTCATTGTCAATGCCATTGCTTTGTTTCTTCCATCCACACTGTCTCTAGACCTGCCCTGGCCTGCTGAATTCAGTTTAGTGTGGAGGGTGCTAGGTTGTTTCTGGAAGATTGTATGGCCCTGGCCTACTTTCATGTCCCATCTGAGCCCTCACAGGCATCATCCCCACCATCCATTTCTGGCAGAGTCCTTTCACTTTCCCTTGTCCAGCTGGTACACAGGACCCCACAAGACAGGACCATCAAGTTGACCAGCTTGTTTTCCTGGAAGATGAAGAAATGGGCTCCCACTATCTCCCTGTAGAGTCTGTGAAAACATAATGAGGTGAACATAACAAGCCCTCAGCCTTGGCCTTTGGAAAGGAAGGATGATTGGGACTGCCACTGAGAAAATACTTAGTGAGAAACAAACATGAACAGATATTGCCAGGGAAAGGAAGAAGAGCTAGGGAGAGAGAGGTCTCCCACTTTCTATATGCCTTAAACTTTAGGAAAAAGCACAGCACTTAAACTTTAGAAGAAAACACAGCACAAAAAAAAGCTCATTATGCAAGTGGGTAACTCTATCTGCCTTGAGAAATGGCTGCTGGGTTCAGCTACCAAGAGACCTTGTAAAAAGATAACCTCTTCTGAGACATCAAGAAAGACATCTATGAAAGAGGTAGAGCTAGAAGGAGAAACAGAAGTCATTTGGTGGGCATGATGTTTAAAAACATTACTTCTTTCTCAACAGTTAAATATGTCACATAAAATTTAGATTTCTGCCAGGTGGTGGTGGCACAAGACTTTAATCCCAGCACTGGGAGGCAAAGGCAGACGGATCTCTGTGAGTTTGAGTCCAGCCTGGTCTACAGAGTAAGTTTCAGGACAGGCTCCAAAGCTACAGAGGAACATTGTCTAGAAGAAAAATTCTGATCATCCAAAAATGAGGGCTGGAGAGATGGCCCAGCGGTTAATAGCACTGGCTGCTCTTCCAAAGGACCTGGTTTCAATTCCCAGCACCCATAAGGCAGCTCACAACTGATGTAACTCCAGTTCCAGGTGATCTGACACTCTCATGCAAACATATGCAGGCAAGACCCCAAAGTACATCAAACAAATAAATCTTTAAAAGAAAATTAAACTCCTGTCTTGTTACAAACACAGAAGATGTGGCTTTATTCTCTTTACCACAGTGGAATGTGATTGATTAGGGACTGTTACTCTACATAGAGGTCCCTTACCCAAGTCTCTGCAGACTCTATCTATCTATCTATCTATCTATCTATCTATCTATCTATCTATCTATCACTTTCCTTCAGACCACTGGACACAGAACTTTGAAGTATCTGGTTGCTAAGGACATTGTATGTGACAGGCGAGAGTATAGATGGCATGTGTAAAAAGATGGAGAGAAAAAAACAGGAAAATGACTCCAGGTACTCACACTGTGTAACCCCAGTTACCACCCTTTCCTCTCAAGGGCCTCATCCGGAAGTCTCCACTTTGATCTGATTGGCCTAATTCTTTCTGCCTCTTCCACTTCCCATAAAAGCTTTCAGTAACAGAAATCCACCTGCTATGGTCTCCATATTCCATTCCATCTAGAAACCACACCCACCATTAGCTCAAAAAAAAAAAAAAAAAAAAAAAAAAACAGCAGTGCAGCCATATGTGATTAGAGAGGGCCCCTAGTTAGCCCGATGTGGGACTCAACAAACATACTCCAAAGCAGCATCAAAATCATGCCATAGGTTTCACTTTACAGCTATAGATAGGGACAGCTTTGCGAGTGTCATCTGAGTGTCCTTGGATGTTCTCCACATGGGGACTATGCCAGGCCTGCTCTACAGATCATTTTATGACTCAAACAGGTGGATGATAAGGAAACACATCCACTCAGAAACTTCCCAAGTTTTCCTGAAGAGATCAGCAGTCACACACTCCCTCTCAAGAAGAGCCTAGATGGGCAGTGTGTTCAAGCTCCATGGAGCTGGAGAGAGGTGCTGCTGAGGACTAGAGCCGGCCTCAATTTCCCGCTGCACAGGGGTATTGGGAGCTACTAGAATTCAGAAGAGACTGACTGAAGCCTCAGTTGGTTTGCTTTTTCTGGGAGTGGCAAATGTAGTTGACTCCCCCCCTCCTCTTCGCATGCCTGCAAGTGTGACGACATAAACACCCCACCTCCAAGTCAACAGCCATTTTGGTTTTAACAACTCCAGCTGGAGGAACCTGCTTCTTCCTGGATTTGCGGGCAGCAAATTTGCGGGCAGCATATTTCCTTGTCCTGACGTGGAGTAAGACTTTCTCCCAAGAGCAAGATAGCAAGGACTCTGACAGGCTACTTTCTTGCCTATGTTTGACATTCTTTCTCTGCTCACGGTCGGGCCCTCAGTGTGGTGCAATCACCTCTAGGAAAATCTAGGTGGTTCCCCTGCATCTGAGTTTCTCTTTCATGTTTTACATCTAATCTCTATCCCATAGCTCTGACCTCTCTCCTCTCTCTCTCCCCCCCCTCTCTCTCTCTCTGTGTGTGTGTGTGTGTGTGTGTGTGTGTGTGTGTGTGTGTGTGTGTGTGTGTTTCAATGCTAAGTCTACCTTTGATCTAGAATGAGACATGGGTGAATTGGGGCCTCAACTTTTCACAAACTGTGGTCCTTTAGCAATCCATTCCACTTTAGCCTGTAGGTATTTCACTCTAAAAATTTTAATCTTTTCATCAGAAATTCTTCATTATTCCTTAGCATTTCTTAAACTCCACATTTGCCTATAATTACATCATACTATCTCAGGGCCCACCTGTGGGGCACAAGGTACATTTAAAGCAGAGGAACTGAGGACACAAAATCCCATCATCTGCAGCCTGATCAGCGTAAGTTAATCAGATTTTCACTCCACATGCACCTTAGCACCTAGAAGGCTTCTTAAGAAAGTTTACTTTCACACATCTCTTATATAAAGATCAAAGATCGCACCTAAGTCTTTTAACATATCTTCCTTGTTAATGTTTTTGTTATCCTTCCTTGAATCTGTAAGCCTCTGTCCTGTGCTAGGTCATGTTTGTCCTGGGTG